CTAATGTCAATTGTATATTTAACATCAAAAAATATGATATGGCATGTTATTTTTATTTTTGCTCCAATGCGTAATATTATTTGACTAAATCTACCTTTTCTTATAACTATTCAGCTCCGAAAGTTGTAAAAGTAAACTTTTATTTTTAAAATAAGAGACTTTTTCTGATGTTCCCTCCTTTTTAGAAACACCAGTGATCCATGCTTCTCAACCGTCAAATCTGTATCGGAACTTGTCTGTTCTGCATACTTTTTCAATCTGGCCAATCTAGTGTGATTTTGACCAGATCTAACGACTGAAAAAGCAGGAACACCGGTGTTTCTAAAAAGTAAAAAACACCTAAGAAACTCCCTTAAAATAATTAAAAAATGCAAAAGCTGCATTGATTATATGGAAAAAGTAAACATTATAACCAATAGTAATCAAATGACAACTTTCTCATATGTTATACTTGGTGGGAAATTTACCACAAACTACAACATATGGAAAATGTGGCATAACAATTGGCATTGCATTGAAGAGCGTTTTTTACACTCAAATGTTAATTTTGCAATTAACATATTAATTATAACATTGCATTGGAGATACTCTAAAATAATAATTGTATATTAACTCATTATCTTTTCCATCATTCTTATTTTCTATCCTTCATCTTTTTCCCTTCATTCCATTTCTTTCCCTCCTACCAAATAAAAGCATTAATCATGATGAGATGTTAAGGCTTATATTCCTAGTAATGTACTTTACATTACAAACATATAAATATTCTTATCCGCAAATCTATAATAGAATGAGACTTTTTTTTTTTGTTCCTAAATTAGAATGAGACCTTTTATTAGTTGATGTGGGTGTCTCGTACTTTTGGAGTAGGATTTGTGGCTCAAATTAAAGCCATGAAATAATTAAGTATCCTAAAAAATAAAATTGGAATTGGTATAATCGGTAGAACCAGAAGCCTTTGCATCATTTGCCTCTAATCTCAATAAAACTACTTATCAGAATCAAGGTCAACGATTACGTGAGTTGCTCAAATTTATAATCTCAATTACTCTCTAACGGCCGTGAAAGAATTCTTGATTACTTTTTATGGAGAAACAATTAGAAATTTAACGAAGTATCATTAGTTACGAACTTACTTAAAAATGAATAAATCTCAGTTCCAAGAAATGAAGATATTGTGGTGAGGAATTTAAGCCCTTTTAAAAGAATCAAAGAACAAATGTAGAGTTTTCTCCTTTACGAACATATAATAAATTAACCATTTAAAGTCTATATTTTTAGTAAGTGAAGGTAAGAAGCGAATTTAATCTCTTATTCATAAGAAAATGGATGCTTTACATTTCAATTATTTCTTTATTTATTTTCCCATTTTTTATAATTCGGGAAAAATGAATACATGAAAGACTCACCTGAATTGCGTATTCAATTCAATAATTCATTACATTATTAAATTGGATACGTAATAATGCTTTACTTTATTCGGTTCAATTCCTTAATTTATTATTTCAAATATTATTTATTTTATTTTATAACTGATGCTACAACAAATTATAGAAATTATATCGAAGAATGAACTATTTTGGAAATAGAAGTATTTTTCAATGAATTTATGAAGTTATTTAGAATGATTAAAATTTGAAATTGCATATACCTAACAACCTGATTAGTATTTGTCCCCGATGGCCTGATTTCAGAAAGAGATGTGATGAGTGAGTTTTTGTACTCACGAATTTAGTGCTTAATCTTACCCTTTTGTTGGTTTTCGAGTTTCTAGTATAGGGTTTACCCTTGTTTTTGCTCTTGTTTTGTAGGTTAAGTAGGATATGGCACTTTGGATCGATTTAGAGTTAACTGGAATAAAAGAAGTCTATTAACATTTACTTTGAGAAAGGATGAGCGCCATGGCACCAAACAGGCAAGGCCGTGGCGCTAGAAAGGCATTTTGAGTGATTCCAAGAGTGCCATGGCACTGACCATAGCGTCGTGACACTCAACACTGACGCCATAGCATGTGTGAGCTGAATTGAAGAGTGCCGCGGTGCCCATAACTCAGTGCCGCTGTACTAGTGTTGACAAGGTGGGTTTCAACATAGTTTTTTATGCTGAAAAATCCCAATTTTGCCTCTACGACCGAAGGCATATAAATAGGACTTTTTAGGACTGAATAAGTGGTTCTTTTCTGAGAAAAAAAGGAGAATTGGCAGCACAACGAAGTAGAAGACGGCTCACTCAGAAACAGACTCCGACCTCGAATCTTCAATCTAGTTTTCTTTTCTCTTCCTTTTCTCATTATTAGAATTATTGTTAGGATGTTTTCTATTTCCATTATGTTCTAGTTTCATTTTCTAGGGCTACGATGTAGCCAGATCATGATTGTTCTATAATTTTCAATTCTTAATTCAGTCGATGTTTATTTCATATTGTTGAGTATTATAATCTATTCTTAATGTTTGTGAATGTATGGCCAATCTTTGCATGAATTGGAGTTTAATTCTGAGACTGAGAAGTGATGGTTAAACATGATCATTGATTATAATGCCATTAGAACATCATAAGCTAGAGATAGTTATGTGACTAGTGTGGTGATTATGATTTCTTAATCTTAATGCGTTCAACATATTAAAATCTTGATAAAGATATGAGGTTTGCATTCTTGGGTAGGATTACTAGTGCTTGAGAAAGATTAGTAATTAATCTAGAGAAATCCACTCTCAGCATAGGAATAAACATACATTGACTGATTGGGAATTGAGGGTTTGAACTTGATTGATCTTGGTGAAATTGGAAACCCTAGAGCCGTTTTATCATTGAATTTTCTCTAATCATCATTCGAGTTTTGTTTTGTTTTATTTTTGTTTTATTTTTATTATTTTAATTCTCATAATAAAATTCTATTATTTCGGTCTGTTCAAATAAAGTTAGGGTTGACATAATTTCGGTAGCTAATATCGATCACTCCTTATGGGACGATACTCGTATTTACAAAATTATTACTTGACAACGATACGTGCACTTACGTTCACATTTTTCGTAACAAGATGGCCTGAGAGAAGAGCCTAGAACCTATTGTTGCAAGAGTCTCCTGCCTCTCCACAACCTAAAAGAATCATAAAATAACAAACAACAATAAGTTAAAATTAAAAAGGTAATAATAAAAACGGTTTTCTAAAAAGGAATAATAAACATTTTTTAAAATTGTTGGGTACGTGAGTGTGTGCGTGTGTCAATTGTCAATCAAAGTTTGAAAAAATTAATAAAAAAATTAACGTTTTCATTTCTCATTAGTAAAGTGGGAGTCATAGGTTTCACATCATATTAAAAAAAATTAATGTTTTCGAGTTATAAAATATAATGAGTCTGTAGCATGCGAATATTAAAAAAAATACGAGAACCCAATCGGGAACATTATGATAAAGGTAGCTGGTCATGGAATAGTATTGCAAGTTAAATAATACTAAATCATAAAGTAGATTTAAGGCATGTAATAATTATGGATCTTGAATTTGAAACTTACAATGTTTCTATCCTCTATATTTTTAAATTACAGTGTGCATGTGTTGGTTATTCTACCAAGTCAACTTCCAAATATTGGAGGTTGCGTTTCCAGATAAAATCTTATTTATTATTGTTTAAAGTAAATGAGCTCTTTCTTAAAAATATTTGGTAACTCATTTTATTAAAATAAAATTAGTAGACATAGAACATCATCACTCGCTAAATTTCTTAATCTTGTTTACCTCCACGCAACCATCCCGTTTTGCAAGCGTGACAACATGCTAATATAAAAGCAGCACAAAATGCGTTCCAACAATTGAGATCCAAACTTTGTTCATGTTTGGAGTTGGTTTTGTTTTTGTTTTTCACATTTTTTGAGAAAGAAAAAATGAAAACAGGAGAGAAACGATGTTTGGCACAATTAAAGACAAAAAACGGAAATAAAAAGATTTTTTAGTTTAGTGAAATGAAAGAGAAATGAAAAATGATTTTTAGTTATTTTTTATTTTTTGTTCTGTTTTCTCCTCTCTCGAGCACAAAGAGAGACATTAATTGATTTTTTTATACTGAAAACAATCTCTTGATAAAACTACCAAAACGTATTTTTAAAAATAATTTCTTTATGAGATTGAAAACATTTTTATTTCTATTTTCATACAAAAAATAAAATCATTTTAGAACGAGTTCTAAACGCACCATTCGAATATTTCAATCAATCCCATATGTACACATTGAGAGTTTCTCCCGTGCGTCCAAGATTTTAGAACCCCTACTAGATTCTTTTTTTATAAACCATCCAATTAGTTGAGGACAATACGTACATTACCCATTTTAGATCTCGTATATTTAATCGATTTGAGTTTTTAATTTATATTTTTTACAGTTAAAAATTTTTAAAAAATATCACGTCTAACATTTTTTATTACAGTTAAAAATTATCAGAAAATATTAATCTCAACTCAAATTAAAAACTCGAATCTATAAAGTGAACAAGACCTTAAAGTACTCTCTTATTTTTTCCACATATCAGTTGACGTGGACTTTTTTCCAGGTGAAAAATTAAAAAAAAGGAAGAAAAGAAGGGCAATCATCTATTTATTGGGCTCGTTCACTTCGCTGATTCGAGTTGAGATGTGATTTTATGTTAGAGCTTTTTACTATAGCAAAAAAGTTAGATGTGACTGTTTATGAGAACTTTTTACTGTAACAAAACTCAAATTCTAAACTCGAATCGGTAAAATGAACAGAATAATTTTTTACTATAATAAAATTCAAATTCTAAATTCAAATCAATAAAATAAATTAGACCTCAATTATTTCAATGCTTGTACAAGGGTTTCGCCTTAGCCCTCCATAGAAAAATTTTATTAAAAAAAATAACTTTTTAAAAATTTTTATTTATAAAATAATTACAGAACAATCAGAAACGATTATTTTTTACGATCATAAAAAATAGAAAATATCATTTTGTTAATTTCATTTTGACAATCGCTCTAGCAAATTTCTCGAGTCGTTTACCTCGGTGACAGTCGCTTCTTCATCAGACTTCTCGCCAGTAGTGAAAGCGTTAAGTTCGTCATCGTTTCTTGAATATCTTGCTCCACTCCGAATCGGTATGTTCTGGTAACTTTTAAATGGATTCTGTGTTGCTCTGGTGCAGCTCTTCCTTGTTTTCCGTTGTCAGTAGTTTGGGTATTTTTTTTTTCGTGGTAATTTAAATTTGTTGTATGGCCCATTGACATCCTTATTCCTTACGTATCAATCATCGCCACTCATAATTTGATGTGATTTTTTCGTGGAATTTTGGTAATGTTTCCATTTGGTGGTGCAACTCCAGAAGTGTTGATGTTTGCTGTTTAACGAAACGAATATTTTAGTCACATTTGCACATCAGGTGCTTGTGAAAAGGCGTGAGTTAGGATTTTACATCTACTTGGTTGGTTAGCACACGAGTTTATAACTTCTACGAGTCTTTTTTTGTTTTTGGTGTTATGAATGAAGGAAGATAAATTGGTGTTGGTTTCGAAAACCGATTGCGCAAAAAATTTGCGGGCTTGATTTTTTATATATATATTTTTTCTTTTTACTTCGGCGACTTTGTTGGCTAACGTTTGCAAATTGAACTTCGCTGCATTTATGCTTGTTTTATGGTGGAAAACTTCATAGTTATGTCCATTTAAGTGTACTAATTCCGTTGTTAGTATTTTTGGTTTCACGTTTACTTAGTTCTAAGCAGTGCTTTTGCTTAGTTATATGCCAAGGGAATTATGCACGGATTAATCCGGATTTTAGTTTTGAATTTCTTTTTGAAAGTGAATAAGATAGAAAATGTCATAATATAGCCGTTTGATGGAGAGCGAAAAAGGAGAAACTTGTTTGGGAGAAGCGAGTGATGGTGAGACCCATGATCATGACTCTGGTGAAGATGATGAAGAATTTTGCTATGCTTCTGTACCTGTGTCCAAGTTGCAGCCTAGGTAGAGGCTTCTTCATCTTCAAGTTTTCATTTTTTTATTATTTGTTTTTGACATTGAAGGATTTAATTATTTATTTTGCTTTGTTTGAAATCTAGGAAAGTTTTATCAAAGGGTCGTTGGATTAATGAGATGGGAATGGCTGAGGTCGAAGTTCTAAAGGGTCCAATTTGGAGTACGACGGGAATAGTTCGTGGTGGAAAAATCTATTGCTCAATTGAAGAAGTTTTGTAAGTGCAATTGCTGTTTTGATTGTGTTTCCACCTGTTCTATATGCAGAGTTTTTGTCTTCTTTTTTGGCTATGAAATATAAAATTGATGTAACACGATCTATCTATTGCCCAGAACTTTATATCAATTATATTAACATATTCATCTTAACACCCGCAGCAGTTTGATGCCAATATTTTGAACAATGTTCCCTAAGTTGAACTTTCTTTTTGGGGGAAAAAAAAGAAGAAAAGAAAGCTGGTTCCAAAGTTGAATTATGAAATTGCTCCTTCTTGTAACTTTGAGCTGAAGGTCTGATTTTGAAAAATCGACGGTTTCATGAGGAGTTTGAAAATAATGTACCTGTGAATGCTTTTATTGTTTAAGATGCATTCTTCTCTTTTGCTTGTTATATTGGATTGGATAATTATCAAATCACAATCATTTTTAAGGTTTCTGGCTGAACTTGGAGCTTTTCTTCTAATGGATGATGCTGGTACCCGTCTTTCTATGGAAGATATGTATGCAAAAATTTCGGATCAAAATAATGGATGTTCATGGGAGTACTTTCAAGCCTATAGGCAACTGAAGTCTCTTGGTTACATTGTTGCGCGACATGATATCCCCTGGTCTCTGAAGACTGTCAACAGCAATAGTGGATCTTCTTTTCCTATATGCTCCTTAGAAAAAGTAGCAGACTTGAAATCGGAAGACACGACCTCCATAACCGCAATGTTCAGTAGAGTGCAGATTGACGAAGTAAAACCAATTTTTGACGTCTATCCCCCAAACAGCAAGTTTAGAAAGTCTTCTCCTGGTGATCCAATCTTTGTGCTCTGCTTTTCTAGGTATTTTGCTTTCGTGAATATGTATGATATGCATGAGCTTTTTTTTTTGGGGTTTTTTGTTTTATTTATTTATTTATTTTGCTGTAGTAATATGCGTGAGCTTAAATTCATCAGTGATGTGTTCTTTTCTAAATGTGTTGCTTGAATGAATTCTTCTTATTTATTAGGAATATTGTTATTTTCACTTTTTTCTTTCATTTTTAATGTTTTGTATTTGAATATCTGCATGTGACAATTCTATGCTGTGATCTTACATTAGTGTAGATTACACGTTTGCTGTATTTGGAATTTTCACTGAGAAACAACTATAAGAGAACTTGTTATTTTTAGCCTTTCAGGGGTGAAACAATTTCGTTAGTATTTATTTTCTTTTATGGAAAACAAATCAGGAAGAGAGAATTCCCCTTTAATGTATGAATCTTGTTCTTCTTCAGTGGTTCTCCGCCATCAAAAATGACATTTGAAGTCCTCAAAAGACATTGTCGAGGAGTTCCTCCGAAATTTTGTCATGTAGAGCAGGGACGAGTGAGTTTCTTTTCCTTTAAAAAAGTGGAGCTTCCTGTTCTGCCTTGATGTTCAGTTTTATTGTTCGCGACCGGAATCAGATGCAAAAGGAAAATGGTATGAAGATTATGTTTCAATATCTGTAGGTAAAATTCATTTATTTTTCTTAAAAAAAAAGATAAATTGACCAATAAACATGTTAAATCTGTCTTGACCGTGTTAAATAAGTCATTATTATATTAGTTATTTGTTCAATATGTTAATTTAAACGAGTTATACGGGTTGACACGATTAACACGATTAATAAATGGGTCATGTTTGAGTTGATATTTTTGACACGTTTAATAACAGGCCGTGTTTAGGTTGATGTTTTCTGACACGATTAATAAACGGGTTGACACGAATACGACCAACTAACACGAATTGCCACCCTCACTTACGTAAAAGGCACATGAATTGTATGCTCATAACTCTTTTGTTAGCTATCTATATTTGAAGTTTTAGTTTTAATACATTTTAAGGGGGAAGAGCGACACATTTAGCAATTAGGAAGAATTCTGAATCAATAACAACAGATCGAACAACAGCAAATATAATGGTACAAAAAGCATTGGAATGTCTTACGTAAAGAAACAAATCAACTGCAAGAACATAACAGCAATAATTATAATGGTACTGGAATGTCTTACATAGGAGAGTAATATCTCTTAATAACCAGTAGCTAAAGTTCAACGCCCAAATAATTTCTTCAGATGAATTAGCACTCTCTGGTGATGTGTTAGGAAATATCCTTCTGTGAAAACCATTACTTGAAATCCAAGAAACGTTCCTCTTGGATCACCAAGAATCAATATGCCAATAAACGGAAGCGTACCTGAATTCATGACGATAAATTACTCTCTAGAGCAGTGCGGCTTGTCTTAAAGATCAACACGTTTCCCTAGTGATATGAGCAATGAAGGAATCCCACTCCTTGCGAGTAACTCCTTCTTCAACTGACTTTCTAACTTCATAACCCAATTCCTCAGCCCTTTTCCTCACCTCATTTCCTTCCTCCGACTTCATCAATATCTCCACAACATCACTAATCCTTGATGAACTCACTAGCTCCTCTCTTTTCTCCCATTCTCTAACAACGAACCCCACTTTGAGCACTAGTGTGATTAGCACAGCATTCCTTGGCTGATCCGATTTCATTGGCCAAACCGCCATGGGCACTCCCATGGAAATGCTCTCCATACAAGAGTTCCATCCACAGTGACTCAAAAACCCACCAGTTGATGAGTGCCCCAAAATCTTCATTTGGGGCGCCCAATCTCTCACCACCATCCCCATTCCTTTCACTCTCTCCTCAAACCCGTTTGGAAGTAGTTGAGCTCTTTTGACATCTTCTTGATCACCAGCAGCTCTCAATACCCAGATAAACTTTATCCCACTTTGCTCTAACCCAAGAGCCATCTGTTTTATTTCTTCATCTTTGAGTGTAATTGTTGTTCCAAAAGAAATGTACAAGGCAGAGTTTACTTCTTGCTGGTCCAACCACTCCAAGCACTTGTCTTCTTGTCTATAATTCACTAATTCTAACGTGACAGGGTTCAATGGCCCAACTGCCCATATCTTTTTTCCGCCTAAAAGCTCTTTATCATTCTCTAAAAGATCCAAGAAAGCCGCTTCAATTGATCGACAAGAGTTACTGATGTATCCGTTACCTCGGGGTTTCATACACCGAGCACGATGATCGAGGTACCTGTTGATGTCAGGTGGAAAACATTCATCACGACATGGAAGCTTATAACCCAACTCTTCCGATGGACTCCCATTGAAGGGTGAAAGTAGTGAAAGCTGATATGCTGTAGAAGGCGCACGATTCAGCGTTAGATATGGAATCCATAACTTTCTCGATAAAAGGCTCCATTAAAATGTCGTATACGATGACGAGTCTTGTAGCGGTGGGCGCGAGGGAATGGAGAAGAGCCGCCATTGGTTTGTGGAGGAGGTCTGGGGAAGTGGTGGGAAGAAGACTTGGGAGAGGAATTGGAAGGTCATGGAAAATGATTTTGGTATTGAAGACAAAGTTAGGGTTCGAGTTATTAGCATAATTTGTTACGAGTGAACGTGATTTGACCTGGGAATTGTGGGCTGGGGAGGCTAAGTAGTGAATTGGAAGATTGTTGTTGGAGGAAATGATGAGGTGAGAGAGTTGCAAGAGCTGGTTGAGATGGCTCTGAGCTGGGAAGGGAACCATTACGACCACAACTGATGGTGATGAGGATTGGTTCATGGCTACTTGATGATGAATATTGGTGTGGCTATTGATGAATTCTCGGAGCTGGGAAGGGAACCATTACGACCACAACTGATGGTGATGAGGATTGGCTCATGGCTACTTGATGATGAATATTGGTGTGGCTATTTCTCGATATATATATATATATATATATATATATGTATATATATATAAAGCAAGGTTTAAGTCTTCTGCGTTTTAGGAATATATCTGAAGTCTTCTGCGTTTTAGGAATATATCTGAACTGGGTATGTCAATATATGATTGTTTTACTATATAGGAATCGTCTGCAGTCTTATTTAAAATGTGTATATATTAAGAATAATAAGAATAATTTTATCTTTTTATGTCCCAAAAAATTACTTTGAGATATTAAAAGAAGATTTTTTTAAAAATTAAGATATCAGCATAAAATTATTAAAAATAAAGAATACTAAACTCATATTATAATATAACACAAGATATTAAAATAAAATTTTCTAAAAATAAAATGCATGTATGTGTAATTCTACCGATAACCAATGCCATAGGCTGTGCCACAGCTGAGGTTAATTGAACATCCTTTTTATTTTCTTTTTCTATTAAACAAATCACTTTCAACGTTCAAAATACCAAAACTAACCCAAAAATAAACCCTAATTCTCATCTCCTTTCTTTCTCCCCTCTCATTCTCTCTTTTTCTTCTCTCTCCTTTTCTTCTTCTCTCTCCTTCTCCTCTCACAACGCCGACATCCTCCTCCTCACGCGACCCCATTGCCAGGAATTCGAGAAACAGCTCCACGTGGAAGAGAATCTATCTATTTAGGTCTCGTTTATTTCACCGATTCGAGTATTCAATTTTAAGTTTCTACAGTAAAAAGCTTTCAAGAAATATCATATTTATTTTTTTTTTTTTGCTACAGTGAAAAGCTCTTAGAAAATATCACATCTCAGCTCGAATTGAAAACTCGAATCCGTGAAGTGAACGAGGCATTAGTAATAATGGCAAATTTCTCTTTTTTTTTATTTGAGAATTTCTCCTTTTTTTGTTTTGTTTAAAGAAACAGTAATTTTTATATTTATTATAAAATAATCAGTCTATTATTTTTATGAAAATATTGAAATCACTAGTTAAGGCAATAATTTTGTAGTGAAAATTTGAAATTAACTACAAAGGGGTGACATGGTCTTTATAATTGGTAGAAATGATTTTGTTCTTATAATTTGTAGAAAATGGTAGAGACCGTCTACGTCTAAAAAGGCATTGAGCCTTTCAACATTAAACCCAAGCAAATATACTGGTTTCGTTCATTTCACTTATTTGAGTTTTTAATTTCATTTTTGTTATAGTTAAAAGCTTTCATTAAAAGTCACATATAACTTTTTTTAGTACAGTTAAGAGCTCATACATAAAGTCATATATCAGTTTGAATTAAAAATTCGAATCGACGAAGTGTCGAGCCACTATTTTAGTGATTTACATATGTGTCCATTATAAAAAGAGTGAAAAAAGCAATGTCCTCGAATAACTATTTGCACATAAGTCTGTATATTGACATGTACTGACCTTTTTATCTTTTTTAAACCCTTTTGAGGACCATTACGTTTTTTTTTTTTTTGAGATTCTTTAACACATCTGTGTTATATGTATGAAAAACGCTTTTTAGATAATTGTATCAGAACAGTTTTGTTTTTGAAATATAAATCAAATGAGGATCACGTTTTTAATGATAAATTCCGATTATCTAAGATAGACATCCAAGTAATATTGTTAAATTGTGTATATATAGTAAAAAGAGAGCCCAAAACTGGTCATTTTGTGTAAATACTTCTTTAATTTTACAATTTTCCTTTCGTTCGTCCACTGAAATTTTTTAAACTACAGTTTTTACATAGATATTTTTTAAGTTTCTATTATCCCGTGTTTTAACTATGAATTTACAATATTTCAAAAATCATAAAAAAGTTTCAGTTATACTCTAGAATTTGACTTTAAATGCCAAATGAATAAAAAACATAAGGGAGAATGTAGTAAATGACATATTTTTGAAATTAAATTAAGGTGATTTTTGGTTCATAGGTTCAAAATTATGATTTATGATTCTGATTTTTTAAATTCAAATTTTTTGTGAGAGAAAAACACTATTGCAGAATCAAGAACAATGATTATAAACCAGGCAGAACTCTTAAAATAAACGTCACCTAAGTAAACAACATATAATAAACTATTTGAGGTAACTAGCAGTTTACCGTGTAAATGTTTTATTTACTATTAGTAAAAAGATTGTTTTCCATGTAAGTTTATTTTTATAACTTTTAAAATATTTTTTCCTACGTAAATAAAGATTTTTTACAACATATTTTATTTTTTACCAATCATAATGAAACGTTTACCTAGTAGAGTGCTATTTAATTTAAATAATTTTAAAATTTACTATTTACTTAATTTTGAAAAATCTGCTATTTATTACAATTTTTGAAAAATGTCAACATGCTACAATATAAACTCATAATTCGGAGACTTTAAATTTAAGAAAATTTCTGAAAAATGTCAACATACTACAATATAACTTAATAATTCCGAGAATTAAAGCTTTAAGAAATGAATTAAACTCAATCACAAACTTGATTAATTTGAACGAAAAATAAAATATTAAAAAAAAATAATTGACCGAGTCTTTTACCTCCCTTTTTTTTTTTTTTTTTTTTTTTTTTGGCTCTAGAGAGCACTTATGAGTTGTGGAGGCACATCTTCTTCAATCAAAATTGCGGAGGCACTGCAAGTAATATAGACAAGGCTACTTTCTTTCGAAATTACTATGAATCTATTCAAGGATAAAAATTGTTCTTAATTTAATGAATATCACAAAGATGTCTAAATTCAAAGAATGCACATCTTCTTCAATCAAAATTAGGTATTATATAGTGATTGTAGGTATAACTTCTATGTGATTTGATTTCATATATTATCTCATTTGAAGATGCAAAATTCAAATTCTCTCCTCAAATATAGCAGTGAAGGACTATCTATGAGGATTCTATCATCTGAGACTTAAGGCTAAATATGACTTAAATTGATGTCACTTTTTACTCTTTAGATATTACCGAAAGCATAATTTAGATTCCTTTGTGATCCATTTATGGTCTCAATAGATTGTCACGTAACCGCTAGGCCGCGGGCTTGAGGATCCTTTTTCTCCAATTAAAAACATTAAAAAAGAAAAAACGCATTTGACATTATAGATAATAATAATTAAGAAATATGATGGTAATTTAAGTCATTATACGATAACACGACTTGAAATCCGGATCGAATTAAAGGATTTTTGGTTTATTATAAATGTGGTTGGGTCATATTCTAGTTAATACGATTGACACAATTAATAAATGAGTTATGATTGACCTTCTAACTCGAAGTAACCCGAATTGACACGATTAACTATATGCGTCATTTATAAATTAATTATATATGATGTAACCTAAAATTTTATATGGTGTAGTGAATACAAATACCATGAATTTCAAAATTATTACATAAATTATACTTATTTTTTAAAAGAAAAGATAAATTGATTAATAAACTATTAAACGTGTCATAATTATGTTAAATAGATCATACTTATATCAATTATTTATTTAATATATGCATTTAAAATGGGTTACGTGCGCAAACTAACACGATTAATAAATGAGTCATGTTTGGTTTGATGTTCTCTCACACGAATAATAAACAGATTGGACATGAACACGACTCATTAGCACGAATTGCCACCCATGTCAAGGAACACACTTTGACCTCGTTCATTTTACTCGTTTTGAGTTAAGAACTCGAGTTAAAAAATGAATTCATGTGAGAGAAAATATTATAACAGAAAAGGTTGAATTTAAGTTTTTGTATGAGAAAAATTTGTAGTAAAAAACTTGAGTTGTAATTCAAATTTACTAAATGAACGGGGCCCACTAAGAAATTAGGTACCTAAAAAAATTAAGAAAAGAACAAAAAGAGTCAGATTTTGAATCTCAGAGGCGGTATCCAAGAGTTTTTTCTTTCGTTCTTTCTTTTTTTTTTCTTTTTAATTTATATTTGTCATATCACTAGATGGAATACTACTAGCTCTAATTAGTATCAAACTACCTTTTTGTAATGGAAATATGTTATATGCTCTGTACAACGAGTTCCGGACGTGGATTTTCATCCCCATGTAAAACAGAGCAAGTTTCAATAAATCTGTTAGAAAACAAATGAAAATAGCACAAAAGATTAACTACAGAGCATTAATGAAAATAGCACAAAAGATTAACTACAAGAAAATATGAAAGACAGAGATAATAGAGACACAATAAAATATTTTGACACGTTATCTACGTTGTTAAAAAAAAAAAAAAAAAAAAAAAAAAAAAAAAAAAAAAAAAAATTCAAACTTTCATAATTTATAATTCATGTGAGTTTGCAAACTTTGCAAATTTTCTTATAATTAATACATTTCCGCACTTTTGATAATATCCCGTTTATTTCACCGATTCGAGTTTAAAAAAACTTTCAGAAACAGTCACATTTAATTTTTTTGCTACAGTAAAAAGTTCTCACATAAAATCACATCTCAACTTAAATTAAAAACTCGAATCAGCAAACTAAACGGGCCCTTTACGGTTTTATTTGATAATTGGGAAATTGAGAAATTATTAAAAGTTCCACGACCATCAAATATGCAATATTCACTTCAGGAGAATTATAGACAAAAACAATAATATAAAATAGAGGTCATCCCATATTATTTGCTTAATAATAATATAAAATAGAGGCCACGTCTAATATCAGTTTTCATGACCTCGTCATAATTGCACTTATAATCGTAAAATTATCCAATATTTATATTATGAAATATGCAAAGCCAAATAGTCTATAGATTCAATACATTCGTTTGAAAGAATGCCAACGGCGATCATACCAAACTTGTTGCAATATAGCTTATTAAAGATAAAAATATAGACACGCCACAAGATTTTTATCACCA